CCTTATTCATGTATCCTCAACTCTAATCCATGTATCCTAAACTCTAATTCAAGTATCCTGAACTATTAACCATGTATCCTGAACTCTTATCCATATATCCTGAACTCTTGTTAATGTACCCTGAACTCTTATCCATATACCCTGAACTCTTATCCATATACCCATATCCATATACCATGACCCTTATCTTATTATCCTGAACCCTTATTCATGTATCCTGAACTCTTATCCATATATCATGAAATCTTATTCATGTATCCTGAACTTTTATCCATGTATCCTGAAATCTTATCCATGTATCCTGAACTCTTATCTATATATGTATCATGAACCCTTATCCTTATATCCCGAAATCTTATCCATGTGTCCTGAACTCCTATCTATATATCCCGAACTCTTATCTATATATCCTGAACTATTATCCATATATCCCGAACTCTTATCCATGTATTCTGAACTCTTATCTATATGTCCTGAACTCTTATCCATGTATTCTGAACTCTTATCCGTATAATCTGAACTTTTATTCATGTCTTCTCAATCCTTATCTATAAATCCATGTATCCTGAACCCTTGTGAATTTATAATGAGAACCTTAATTTTGTATCCTGATTCCTAAAACTTTAACTATTCATCCTGAACCATTAATAACTATATTCTGAGCCTTTAAATATTTCATCTCTATCTATGTACTCTGAACCCTAAAAAATGCATTCTAAACCAGATATATGAATACATAGCAAGAGTTTTTTATTGTCGTATTCTTAACATATTTAAGATCAAATGCCGCGGAAAAACGAGTTTAATAAATCAATTGCTGTCCTGCATATTTCAGGGCTATTAATTTACCTTGAATTAAAAATAAAAAGCAGTTTCTTAAGAATGATCAAAAACCTTATAAAACTCTGATATTTTCCATCCCCCAATCTATTATAATTCCCAATCTATTCTAAACCCTGAGCTATTCTGCACTCTGGTCTATTCTTAACCCTGATCTATTCTAAACCCTGATCTATTCTAAACCCTGATCTATTCTGAACCCTGATCTATTCTGAACCCTGATTCATTCAGAACTCTGATCTATTCTGAACCCTGATCTATTCTAAACCCTGATCAATTCTGAACCCTAATCTATTCTGAACCCTTAATCTTTTCTGAACCATGATCTATTCTGTACCTTGATCTATTCTGAACCCTAATCTATTCTGAACTCAACCCAGATTTATTTTTAACCGTGATCTATTTTAAACCTTAATCTTTCCTGAACCCTTATCTTTTAAAAACCCTGATCAATTCTAAACTCTGATCTATTCTGAACCCTGCTCTATGATCTGATAGTATGATAATTATGTGTGGAGAGAAGGGTCTAGGGTTGAGAGAAAGCTAGGAATATCTATGAATCTGTGTATATGTGCACAGTTCAATCCATTCATATGTTAATCCGTGTCAAAACCTTTAGACCTATATATCACCCCTCTCCCTTCTTCCCCTATCCGATATACCCCCACCTCCTCTACTCCCCCTCCCCCTTCGACTGAACTCTAGTTGAACGAGGTTAAAAGTGCACATTTTACATATTTACCTTTTTACTGGAATATTTGAATAAACAATCTGTAATCATGAATATAGTACTCAACATTAAAATATTACTTCTTCATTTATCTTTTAAATGTTTAATATACTATACCATGCATGTGGATATACTACCGGTTTGTACTGTACTGTAATTTCCCCACATGTACCATGCATGTGGATATACTACCGGTTTGTACTGTACTGTAATTTTCCCTACATGTACCATGCATGCAGATATACTACCGGTTTGTACTGTACTGTAATTTTCCCACCATGCATGCAGATATACTACCGGTTTGTACTGTACTGAACGTTTCCCCACATGTACCATGCATGCAGATATACTACCGGTTTGTACTGTACTGTAATTTTCCCCACATGTACCATGCATGCAGATATACTACCGGTTTGTACTGTACTGAACGTTTCCCCACATGTACCATGCATGTGGATATACTACCGGTTTGTACTGTACTGTAATTTTCCCACATGTACCATGCATGTGGATATACTACCGGTTTGTACTGTACTGTAATTTTCCCTACATGTACCATGCATGTGGATATACTACCGGTTTGTACTGTACTGTAATTTTCCCCACATGTACCATGCGTGCAGATATACTACCGGTTTTTACTGTACTGAACGTTTCCCCACATGTACCATGCATGCAGATATACTACCGGTTTGTACTGTACTGTAATTTTCCCTACATGTACCATGCATGCGGATATACTACCGGTTTGTACTGTACTGTAATTTTCCCACATGTACCATGGATGCGGATATACTACCGGTATGTACTGTACTGTAATTTTCCCACATGTACCATGCGTGCAGATATACTACCGGTTTGTACTGTACTGTAATTTTCCCCACATGTACCATGCATGCGGATATACTACCGGTTTGTACTGTACTGTAATTTTCGACACATGTACCATGCATGCAGATATACTACCGGTTTGTACTGTACTGTAATTTTCCCGCATGTACCATGCATGCAGATATACTACCGGTTTGTACTGTACTGTAATTTTCCCACATGTACCATGCGTGCAGATATACTACCGGTTTGTACTGTACTGAACGTTTCCCCACATTTACCATGCATGCGGATATACTACCGGTTTGTACTGTACTGTAATTTTCCACACATGTACCATGCATGCGGATATACTACCGGTTTGTACTGTACTGTACTTTTCCACACATGTACCATGCATGCGGATATACTACAGTTTTGCACTGTACTGAATATCATGTACATTACACCACATGCTGATGTGCTAACAGTTTGCATTGTAATGATACCATATGTACATATACATAATGTTCTGATATACTAACAGTTTGAGTTGTGTTGTACCACAGGTACCCATACACAAAATGCTGATATGCTAACGGTGTGCACTGTATGTTGATATACATCTGCTAATTTGTACTTAACTGTACCATATGCACATATGTACATTGATGATATATGTTTGTATTGTAATGTACTCTCACGCATTAAACATGAGCCTTTGGTGTGTACTGCAATGATAAGCAGTACACTGACTAGTGGGGTTTAGTGGAGATTGGCTGATAGAACAGTACCGCGGGTGTACATGCAACCATTCTAATATAATTCTAGTTTGTATTGTACTGTAGCACAGTTCATAGTACCATACTGATATACCACCAGTATGATTGTACTGTACTACACCACTTGCACATATGTAATGCTGATATATTACAAGTTTGTACCATACTGTACATATGTAACAAACTATATCTGAGTTTGTTCATGTTTATCTTAGAAGCTGCAGTACACTTTTTTGTAAACAAGGTTCAAGGGGTTCCTGGTGTATCTTACTTGGTTCGATCATACCACTGTCCACTGAACGCTACAATATCTTTAGTCAGTGTACGGCAGATTATAGTAGTACACACCAAAAGCTTAGTTGAGGATGAAACACGTTAACTATGTATATTATATTTATATACTTCGTCTTCATACAATAACATTATATTGATAACTTTAGAAATCATGTTCGAGGTTGCGTGAATAAATGTGTGCCTCCAGAATAATGGCGTTTCAACTGTTCAGAGAGTTATCTTTCCGTAATATTCTCTGCTTAATATCAGTTTATCGATGGTTAAAAAAAATAGTTATTAATCAAATAGATTAAAGTACAATAGGTGGCAACAGAGAAATGAACAAATTATACACAACGTCACAAGTGTCAAATATAACAAAGAAAACGGAATTGTCTCAGATTAGTTGACATGTTTTCTAAGATTAAATAAAAACAGAAACTAAAAAAATACATAAAATTGCACTTATTTTACTGTAAGAAAAGCACTTTATTCTAAAATTATCACTATTATTGATCATTTTGTCGGACACAAAAACTGAATTGACACTTGTGACGACAGAATACAACTGTACTGAGAGTGTACAAATTCTACGTTGCCATTTATTGTACTTAATTGTAATCTATTTGGTTATTAATGATTTCTGGGAATTTTAAAAGAAGAAAAAATTTGAGTTTTTTTTATTTACATTAGGTAAATCCACTGAAATAAACATATTTAATAAAGTAAAATTGCTTTGTTTTTGGAAAACATATGCAAGGGATGGGTAGAAGGAAGCTATTCTAAACCCTGATCAATTCTGAACCCTAATCTATTCTGAACCCTTAATCTTTTCTGAACCATGATCTATTCTGTACCTTGATCTATTCTGAACCCTAATCTATTCTGAACTCAACCCAGATTTATTTTTAACCGNCCCCCCTAGATAGTAATCTTGTGTAGTGTCCCTTATAATGGATGGTAACTGCAGGGTGTATCTAAAAAAAAAAATTAAGTGCTAATTTTTATTTTTATTTTTGCGTCAAATATCTTCAAATAATATGTTTATAATTAAATACTTTTTGGTTTTAAACTGTTTTATTTAAATATATTTTTCAGTATTTTTAGCCATGTTTGCCTTTTTAAAATGTAAACTCTATGTTTCTCCAGACAGTACTGTCATCTATCTAATTATTCTTTAAGATTTAGTCTTTATATTCTCAAAGTTTTCATTTGCATAATTAGTTCCTCATTCTTGTCATAACTTGCAAAATCATTTACATTTTAGCATTTTTTCCAGGTTCGATTTTGTTCATCCAATTAAATATATCCAAAGGCTAATTGTTTATTATAAAATAAAGAAGGGTGTTTACAATTTTGTGTTATGGGCTAGACTGGGTAGGGTGGATGAGGAAGGTGGGGGGGGGGAGGGGTCGTAAGGAGCTTGGTTTGACTAAAATTATATTATTAAAAACTGTTGAATTAAGAATCCCCGACTGCGTATAGACTATATCCAGAAATTAACCGCGTAGTAATCTCCCCCACCTCTCCTTCTTTACTCCTCTGTTGACCATTTACATGTTTCTTATGGAGGACGGAGTCTCGTATTTCAGAGCCTCTAATGTCCAGTGTATAACCTCCAGTGTTGTAGAGGATACCTCGGAGAAAACATCCTCGGAACAGGAACCAGGGAGAACCTCTCACTCTATCCATCCCAGTTCTCTTCATAATCTCAGATATTCCCTTTCTTGTTAGTTTAGAACTGTATGTTCTTCAATATTTACAAAACACAGGAGTAAACCCGTTCTTGCCTCCCATGGGAACATTTAACAAAGTAGTAAAAAAAATCTCCGTATAAACTTGACGGAGAATTTCCTTCTGAAATTCCGGGTATATTCTTACCTGATCATTTACATTCTTAGCAGAATAGTTCTACAAAGAAAAATATATATTTCCCATTAAAAAAGAATCTAGAATGAAAAAAAATTCTTAATTATTTGCAGAAAAGTTATTTTTGAAGATATAAAGAAGAAGGTTATTTCGAACCTAAACTTGTGAATATTTTATAGATATCCCAATTTCTACTGTTCTCCTATATATACATATATATATATATATATACATATATACATATATATATATATTTATAGTAAACTTAAAGAAAACTTTTTAACTGTCGATATCATCGTTTACTATCTGATTCTAAACCATTCTTATCAATTCCTAAACCATCATACAATACAAACTAACTCTTGTTAAATTCTGACCCATCCTAGTCAATTTAAATCCTTTTTTACCAAATTTACCCATAATGACTACAATCTTTCATTTACTACGGATCATTTTTCCCAAAAATAAATATATTTGTGAAATCTGAAAAGTTTCTGATATTTACCAGCTTGGACAGTTTTCTAAAGTTTAAACTTTTCTTTTTAATTTTCTCTGATTTATTTAAATCCTAATGAGAGGTTCTTGTCAGGATTCATGGTTTCTAAACAGGTTTAATATGATTGAGAGTAAACCTGATCTACAGGATGCTCTGAACCTTACTCCTCCAGGTATACTGACTATTATAGATATACTTACTCCTCCAGGTATACTTACTATTATAGATATACTTACTCCTTCAGGTATACTGACTATTATAGATATACTTACTCTTCCAGGTATACTTACTATTTTAGATATACTTACTCCTTCAGGTATACTTACTGTTATAGATATACTTACTCCTCAAGGTATACTTAATTCTCCAGGTATGCTTACTCCTCAAGGTATACTTACTATTATAGACATACTTACTCCACCAAATATACTTACTACTCCAGGTATACTTACTTCTCCAGGAACACTTACTGCTCTAAGTGTACTTACTCCTCCAGGTATACTTTCTATTATGATATACTTACTTCTCCAGGTATGCTTACTCCTCAATGTATACTTGCTATTATAAATATACTTACTACACCAGATATACTTACTCCTCCAGGTATACTTACTTCTCCTGGAACACTTACTCCTCTAGGTATTCGTACTCCTCCAGATATACTTACTCCTCCATACATGCTTACTTCTTAAGGTATACCTATACCTCCAGGTATAATTACTCCTCCAGGTATACCTACTTCTCCAGGTATACTTACTCATCTAGGTATACTTACTCTTCCAGGTATACTTACTCCTTTAGATATACTTACTCCTCTAGGTATACTTACTCCTCCAGATATACTTAATCCTCCAGGTATACTTACTCCTCCAGGTATACTTACTCCTACAGGTATACTTACTCCTCCAGGTATACTTACTCCGCCATATATACTTACCCATCCAGGTATACTTACTTCTCCAGGTATACTTACTCTTCCAGATATACTTACCCCTTCAGGTATACTTACTCTTCCAGGTATGCTTACTCTTCCAGGTATACTTACTCCACAAGATATACTTACTCCGCCAGATATACTTACCCCTCCAGGTATACTTAATCTTCCAGGTAAAGTTATTCTTCCGATTTACTTACTCAACCATATATATACTTTAAAACTCGTCAGTGTTTTAGATTAAAAAGTGTTTAATCAACACAATCATAACAGCAGAAATCCACAAGTTACTTTATTGAGAAACAACAATTTAAATAATAATGTTTTTAAAGAGAAGGATTCCGTTGTGAACCGGATATATCCAACTTTAAATGAAGAGTCAAATTGAAATTACATTCACAATCCCAGTAAGAAAATACCTTCTTCCTCAACATAGTTTTATCCTTTAGTTGAATGCCAATTTTTAATTTCTGATTAATCTTGTTGAAACAAAACAAACAATCCTCCTGGTTAAGTAAACGTGGTAAATATATATTGATAAGACCAAGTATTAGACAGGTCCAGGAGTAATATATCCTTGGATTAGGGTTTAATCTTGTTCCTGTGATAATTGTCCTTCAATTAGTCTCCATGTCCGTAGATTGGTTCCTGTAACAGGATTAGAGCTAGAGATTAGACCTCATATAGGATACAATAATTAGAACTAGACAAACATACTTCACTCAGATAGTTCGGTAGATATTAGATATAGTAGATAGTAGATAGATAGTAGAAAGATAGTAGATAGATAGTAGATAGATAATAGCTAGATAGTAGACAGATAGTAGATAGATAGTAAATAGATAGTAGATAGATAGTAGATAGATAGATAGTAGATAGATAGTAGATAGATGGTAGATATAGAATAGGTAGATAGTAGATAGATAGTAGATTTATAGTAGTAGATAGATAGTAGATAGATAGTAGATAGATAGTAGATAGATAGTAGATAGATAGTAGATAGATGGTAGATATAGAATAGGTAGATAGTAGATTTATAGTAGATAGATAGTAGATAGATAGTAGATAGATAGTAGATAGATAGTAGATAGATAGTAGATAGATAGTATATATAGAGTAGGTAGATAGTAGATAGAGAGTAGATAGTAGGCAGATAGTAGATAGATAGTAGATGGATAGTAAATAGATAAAATATATATAGTAGGTAGATTGTAGATATAGAGTAGGTAGATAGTAGATAGATAGCAGATAGATAGTAGATATAGAGTAGGTAGATAGTACATAGAGAGTAGATGGATAGTAGATAGATAGTAGATAGAAAGTAGATAGATAGTAGATTCAGAGTAGGTAGATAGTAGATAGAGAGTAGATAGATAGAATTTATTCTATTTACTCTGCCTGGTTTAGGATAATGTGAATAATGGTTTGAGTTGGTGAATTGTAGTTGCTGTTAAACTGGCCACGGCTGGCAAACTGTAAATTTATGCAAATGTTGAAACTGGTCTGGACTAGGCTCCACACGGAAACACTTTCCACCAAAATTTCTGGAAACTTTACAGAATATCAACAAGTTGCCTCATACATTCTTTTATGAAAAGAATTCTATTGTATTATATTTCCCCGGGATATTAAGTTCAAATCTTCTCTGTGTTTAGAACCTGTTCATCTGACCTGCGGCTACTGTAAGAGAGAGATGATCTCGGCCTGGAACCTGATCCAGCATATCCAGTCCCAACACGGGATCAAGCTCTGCAACCCCCGGGATGACGGAGAGGACCTGGAGCAGAGACCCTTCCCGTTCCCGCACAAGGACGATATTCTTCCGTTTAGAAACTTATTTAATGCTCCAGGTACAGGTTTTCAGCACGCTGTTCCCTTTCCTATGATGGAGCATCCCCCTCCCTTCTTCCCTTCACAGTTCTCCCGGTTCCCGTTCCTGCCCCGGCTCCATCCGTTTATCCGACCTAATTCTAGTCATGACATACAAACAGAGCGGTTTATCTCAGAGAAAATCCGACACAGTATAGGAAACCATCATCTTGGTCTTCCAAACCCATTTGTTGAGAGCCTACCCAGACCAACCTGTCTTCCACTTATATCCCCTGGAACTACATTCGATTTAAGGACTCCCCCCCGACACCGATATCCCCCGCAGTCACACATAAATCTTCATCAAACCCTGGAAACATCAAGTCACAATCTTCAATTCAGATCTGAGTTGAAGACAGAGGAAAAACTTCAAGAGAGTGATCAGCGACCAGAGGAAAAGGGTTTCTCTAATAGTGAGGAAAAATCTCCGGAGAAAATGGTAGACGGGAACGAGGATTCAGAGATGTGCGCTCCAGACTCATCCAGCTCTCAGGAGAAGGGTTTGGAGGAGGAAACGGATGAGAATAAATCCTCCGGCTCCGTTGATGAAAATATGATGGAGGAGGAGTCGGAACTGGAGGAGGATCTGGTTGAGAGAGATGAGAAGGTTTTAACCCGGGATGATTCTTTAGAAACTCAATCCATCGTTAGTCAACTCATTAAGAAGTTTGGATTTAATGATATCAAGGAATATCAAGAGGCGTTCCGGAAGGCGGTTCAGGAGTCAGGGGGAGTAACTACTACTGAGGATAAACCTGAAGATAAAAGGTCTCAAACCCCAGAAGACGAAATTTCCGGTAGAAGCAGTAAACCCTTGAGACTACGAGAAGATATGACTCTGATGAGTTCTCAAGTTAATTCTTTAGATCTTGCCCAACCTCTTCTCAACTCTAGTCCTAACTTTAGCTCTGTAAACAAGAGTAAGGAATTACTGTTTGCAGGACTCTGGATGCCAGGATTCATGAGACAACAAAGTTTAAGAGGAAAGACGGGACGAGGTCGGGGAGGAAGAAGATCTTCAATAAAGGATCTGAACCTGCCTCCTCTACCCCCTGGAGTATGTATGCCTCCTATGGAACCCAGCGCTATAAAAGCCCTGGCTGAGAAGGGAAGGTTGGACGCTATCTTTGATCCGAGAATGAGAAAAGAGTTAATTGGTCGAGGTAGAAATGACACGTGTGAGTACTGCGGGAAGGTTTTCAAAAACTGTTCAAATCTCACCGTACATAGAAGATCTCACACCGGAGAAAAACCTTACAAATGCCAACTATGTTCCTATAGCTGTGCCCAGAGCAGCAAACTCACAAGACATATGAAAACCCATGGAAGGATGGGGAAGGATATCTTCAAGTGCAGGTTCTGTTTCATGCCCTTCAGTGTAGCCAGTACCCTAGAGAAGCATATGCGGAAGTGTGTTGTGAACCAGAAGAACCAGGGGATCTGGTCTACTCCAGTATCCAGTTCTAAACCTCTCCGCCTCCCACCAAGTTTAGTTTCTCCGGAGGGTTTACAAGACAAGAATGTGGAGAAATTATGACGAGGATTGGAAGGAAGTATTTGGGAATATCCTAACAATATGTCTAGTCAGTATCTCACCGGGACACTCACCTGAGCTTAACAATACTTGGTTGTACAACTAGATACTAGGTTGCATAACTAGATACTAGGTTGTACGACTAAATACTTGGTTGTACAACTAGATACTAGGTTGTACAACTATATTCTAGGTTGTACAACTAAATACTTGGTTGTACAACTAGATACTAGGTTGTGCAACTAGATACTAGGTTGTACAACTAAATACTTGGTTGTACAACTAGATACTAGGTTGCACAACTATATTCTAGGTTGTACAACTAAATACTAGGTTGTACAACTAGATACTAGGTTGTACAACTATATTCTAGGTTGTGCAACTAAATACTAGGCTTTACAATTATATACTAGATGGTTTTACAACTAGATAATAGGTTGTACAACTATATACTAGGTTGTACAACTATATACTAGGTTGTACAACTTGATAATAGATTGTACAACTATATAATAGGTTGTACAACAATATAATAGGTTTTACAACTAGACACTAGGTTGTACAACTAAATACTTGGTTGTACAACTAGATACTAGGTTGTACAACTAGATAATAGGTTGTCAACTAGATAATAGGGAGTAAAACTAGATACTAGCTTGTACAACCTAGCATCTTGTTGTACAACTAAATACTAGGTTGTACAACTATATAATAGGTTGTACAACTATATAATTGGTTGTACAACTATATAATAGGTTGTACAACTAGATACTAGTTTGTACTATATACGAGGTTGTACAACCCAAAACCTAGTATCAAGGAAGGTTTTGTTCAAACCGATATTGAACACAATTATTTGGTAGGAAAAGTAAACAAACAAAAATTCTGTTTGCTGAAAATATTTGTGTTTACATCTCCCCCACAGACCAGTCCACCATGTATGTAACCGGTTTCCACCTAGTATTTGAACCCGAGCTCCAGGTCTGAGTATCTCTGCTCCAATGAGACCAAATCTTCTGTTCCTAATATGTGATTGTCGTAAAAACTCTACTATATATAACATATTCTAAATTTACAGGGGGCTTGCTGAACATAGTTTTTAATGTTTTAAGTTAAATATTTGACCCCCCACGTTTAGTTCCTAATTTTTAGCATGAATCAGAAAACTTTTAGGATTCTTTATAAAACTTTGTCTTTCCAAACAAAATCTTATTTTCCTGTTTAAAAAGGGAAGAATAAATGTATTCACAGGCCTCAATTCAAATTGTATTAACTCTTAAGTTAAAAGTACAATTTCGGAACTTAAAAATAATTCCTAAACTGTGAACCCAATTTCTCAATGTATTAAATAATTTGCAAGAATTTATGAAAATTTTGTTGTTTTATTTAGTTTCTGTTTGTTATAGATGTATCTTTTTAATAATCAATAAATATTGCATTAAACATGAAACTAATTCATTTTATGTTTAGGAAAAGGTCGGCTTAAAAGTTCAAATCAATAAATTAGAAGAATTATATGTATAATAGCCTTAGAGGGCGCTTCGCGCCCATCTTCTAAATTAATCGTGAACATGTTCTCTTTGTGTACATCGTAAAACAAAACAAAAATAATTCGCGGATTTTTACAAAAAATTTCGTTGATTTTCAAAATTTTAAAAAATTTAATGAAGATCGAATTTTGATGGAGACAAATATTTAAAATTTCAATCATTCATAAACCTTCCCTGGGGTCCCTAGATGTCCCACAAAAAATTTGGGCCCGATCGATTCAGCCGTTTTGACGTTTATTGGATACAAACAAACAGACAGACAGACAGACAAACAGACAGACAAGCCAAATTTATATATAGAAGAACAATATAAAAAACAGAGATACAGGGTTTCTTGCAAAAGATTAGACCTTTTGACTGTTAATGAATACAGATTTTTAAAAAAGTTTTCTGTATTTTTTTAGTCTTACATTATTGGTCTGTCTCTTGACATTTTTTTTTGATGGAAGGTTGGGTTAAGATGATCTTTTTTTGATGGAGGGCCGGGTTTAGATGATCTTTTTATTGTGTAAAAGTTGAAGTAAAAGTAAAAGTAAAAGTTGATTAAAAATAAAATTAATAATGTTTCAAAAAATTAAGCAGGCTGTTCTTAGTAGTTTTATATTTATATCTATAGATATATTGAAAGTGGTAATCTCTGCTTATCTCTTAGTTTGGATGTCCGATCATAACTCACGAAACCCTTAACCGATTTGCCTCACATTTTGATTTGGAAACTTAGTGTAACGTAAATTTTTTTAAATTAAGTTTATTTGACTTTTAAAGGAAAATTCAGTTTTCAAGTAAAGCTGGGGTTCCCAAGCTAGTACATGGTTCCCTTAAGCTAGTACATGGTTCCCTTAAGCTAGTACATGGTTCTCTTAAGCTAGTACATGGTTCCCAAGCTAGTACATGGTTCCCTTAGGCTAGTACATAGTTCCCAAGCTAGTACATGGTTCCCTTAAGCTAGTACATAGTTCCCAAGCTAGTACATGGTTCCCTTAGGCTAGTACATAGTTCCCAAGCTAGTACATGGTTCCCTTAGGCTAGTACATAGTTCCCAAGCTAGTACATGGTTCCCTTAAGCTAGTACATGGTTCCCAAGATAGTACATGGTTCCCAAGCTAGTATATGGTTCCGAAGCTAGTACATGGTTCAAGCTAGTACATAGTTCCTAAGCTAGTACATGGTTCCCAAGCTAGTACATAGTTACAAAGCTAGTAAATGGTTCCCAAGCTAGTACATAGTTCCCAAGCTAGTATATGGTTCCGAAGCTAGTACATGGTTCAAGCTAGTACGTGGTTCCCAAGCTAGTGCATAGTTCCCAAACTAGTACATGGTTCCCAAGCTAGTACATAGTTCCGAAGCTAGTACATAAAGAAGAAGTAGTGATCTCTGTTTGGATGTCCGATAATAACTCATAACCCGTTGACCGTTGGTTTGCCTCATGCTTTGATTGATGAACTCTGTAAATAAAACAATAGGAATGCTATTAGCTTGGTTTAAAAATTATAAGTTGAGTGGGATGACTTTTGTAAAAGCAAATATGGGTTCCTAGGTTAGTCTATATATATACAAGGTAAACAATCTCATTTTCTATCCCCTATATTTTTGCAATGTTACACTTCAAACTAAAACTTAAGCTCGGAATCTTTCATAATTTCATCTCCTCTTGTTGAAGAGCTATTGAGAAGAACAATGAAGTAACCGGATATTTCAAACTATGAATTCTGGTGGATCAAACAATGTAAGTTTGAAATATGAAAGGTATGGCATCATCTGGTTGTTGAGATTTAGGTATTATAAAATTGGCATTTGTGGAAAAAACTCAATTCTCATCCATGTGCGTAAGACCAAAACTAGAGTAGCTCACACAAAGGAATTAAGTTTTTGCCACAAACTCTGATTTTCTAATCACTATATATTTGCAACAAAATGTTGAATTCTTTTAGATCAAATAATCTGAGTTTGAAATATCAAAGGTTTTCAACATTGGGTTCTAAAGATATTGAGGTTTAAATATTTGATTTTGTTCCAAAAACTCAATTCCTTAGTGCCAATGATGTCGTATAAACTTTACCTTCTCTGTATAGTTCGACTATTTGATTTTACAAAACGGTAACAGGTTGCAAAGATATTGGGGTTAGAAAACATTAGAATTGTGGTGTATCACAACGAGGTTCCGTGATTTAAAATAAATAGATGTTAAATTGATTTAGAATTTTATATGCCAACCCTGAACTTTTTAAATTATACATTTTTTTGTATTGAACATAAAATATATATATATAGAGATAAAAAATGCAGATGAATGGAGCTAAGTTTCTTCGTGGGTAACTCATGTGTAAATATCTAAAATGCGTTTATCGAATACAAAGAACCAGGTTTTTCAGTCTGAAGAATGTACCTATTAGCGTTTTTACGGAAATGAAAATGTTCAAGAAAAGAGACATTTACACAAAATACTTCTTTCTTTATAACTTAAAACCTAGAAATACATAAATTGAATTAAATTCCGTTAAAGACTAACTGACGTAAGATACTTAACTAATCTAATCTCATTCTCATTCTCTATAAATTATCATTTTTATTGGTACACCCTGTGTGTCAAGTCTTATCGGAAACATTTTTTAAGAAACTCTACGCTACACTTTTAAGAATAAACTGTACACTGTACACTGCAAAGCGTACAGTATGATAGAGCTCTAGTTGTATTTATATGTCTAATATGAAATACGAATGTTTGAAGACTGGATCGACTGGAGAGGTTGCGTGATTTTTATAGTTAGTATTTTACTCCTAGTTCAGAGAAGAATATATTTTTATCTCTGTAGATATAAACTTTTAATAACTAAAATAACGTTTATATCTTACAGTGAGAACCAGAAATCTGTGCAATGAATGTTGTATTTGCAGGGGCGTACGAGAGCATTTGTGTAGAAAAAAATCCGCAAAATTTTTTTCTTCTTTGTTTTATAATGTAAACAAAAAAGAACATGTTCACAATTTAAATAGAAGATGGGCGCGAAGAGCCCTAAAAGCCTAGTCTATATATAAATTCGGCTTGTCTGTCTGTTTGTTTGTTTGTATCCAATAAACGTCAGAACGGCTGAACCGATCGGGCCCAAATTTTTTGTGGGACATCACGTGACCACGGGGAAGGTTTATGAATGGTAAAAATTTCTAAAAGAAGTGTTTTAAAGGTTTTTAATTTTGTAAAAAAATGAAATTCTTGATAATCCGCGAATTTTTTTTAAAATCCGCAAAATTTTTTCTTATTTGTTTTAAAATGTAAACAAAAAGAACATGTTCACAATTTAAATAGAAGATGGGCGCGAAGCGCCCTAAAAGCCTAGTTACTGTATATATTCAAGCATTTTTCGATTGCATTACAACAGTAATACCTACATTTAAGTATAGGTAACTATTCATTAACAAGGTATTAATAAAAAAAGAGTTTTAAGGCATGGTTACCAAATAACATCGTACTAATAAAAATCAACTAAAAATATACATGGTTATATGAATACAAACAATATTACAGCAATTTAAAAGTAGAATATATGTTGCCCATAATTGTAAATGACCTTAATTCTTTACAAACAAATAATAGTATAAAAAAAGAAAAAAAGATTATTGGTAGAATATAGGTTCGAAAATGAAGATTATGAAATGGCGTAGAATTTGAAACTAATCGATGATTAAAGGGAGTGTTCGCGAAAAATGAAAGGGGGTATAGGCTTAATGCGATAAAAAGGCGCTTTTGATGGCCACTAATCTTACTTCTATCTGTTGCGTCTATAAGGAGAAAATTGTTAAAGACGTCTCATACCGAATAAAAAAAAAACCATACTTTATCACACTACATTTACTAGAAGCAACTTGTTTTTATGTCGACATTTTGACATAATTTCGTGTCTTTTATTCAATGATAATGATCTATCTGCCAGGATGATAAGCGTTTTCTCAGTTAAGCATAGTTGACACTTGTTGGTTTCTTTTTTGTAAGGGGTTGCCAAAGATGCGATGGACCATGATATTTCAAAGGGTTTGTTCTCTCTCTTTAAATCCCAAACATGTTTAGAGAGTCCTGTACTGTTTTCCTGTTTACTGTTCTTGAATGACGAGTTGTGGTTGTTGTATCTTGTTTTAAAATTAAAAATATTTATTAAAGTACAAGAAAGTGTTGAGAGTTTTTATCATCTGTACAGGTTATGCAACATTGTACTGAAACAAATGTGATGTTAAGTTGAAATGAAATCTTTCTTTTGATGAATCCTTGATTGAGCTCTTACTCTTCAGGTTTAAACAGAAGAGAATATTAGTATTACCAGGAGAAAACCTTGTCTTGACACCCGACAAGAATCTTTATTTTCATTTATGTCGCTTAATGCCATTAACATACTGAAAATTATTCCAAATATGAAAATTAAAGCTTTGGAATTTTTATGCCACTCAGATCTAAATACTCGAAATAAGCTCAATTATGCCTCAACATATATACTTTCAATTTAGTGAATTTTCATCTATGTCATCCATGTGAGCATAAACTAATCTAGTAATCGGGGAAACGCTTCTTTATAATTTATGTTGTCTCTAGTTTGGTTCCTTTTTCTGATATTTGTTTTATGAAACTTTCCTAAATACTTACTATGTGCCAGATATGATTTAAACAACCTATTTGAAGTATTTAATGGAATTGTAGATCCATACTAGTCCAAAATTATATTTTAATACATCTAGTGTATCTAGTATATATTCAGTTCCGTATACTGTAATATAAAGGTCTTCCTATATCTCTTACATACCAGCCTACGCTACTCAAT